CTCTTGCGCGCATTGAGGATGGCCTCGACTTCGTATTCCTCCTCCCCTTGGATAACCTCAGGTAAAGGTCTTACTTGGTCCTTGCGAAGCGGATCCTCGAAATACGGCTTGAGTAAGTTCACGTGGAACACGGGATGCATCTTCCCCATCTCTCGAGGAAATCAGAGACGGTAAGCCACTTCACCGATTCGAGCCTCAATCTCGTAAGGCCCCGCGAACCTGCTTAAGGAACTCAAGATCAATTCATTTATAGGAATACATGTATTTTTACCTTTGGGTCAACTTCCGGCTGATCCCACTTGGTAGCCTGAGGTTCTTGGTGTTCAGCCACACCTTCTCCCCAGCTTGGAACTCCACATCCCGACGCTTTTGGTTCGCGTACTTAGTTTGCTTTTGTTGAGCCCGTTCCAAGGAATCCCTCACTAGATTCCAAATGTTGAGTCTTTCCGCCGTGAATGCCTCCACTGCGGGTAACTCTCCATGATACTCGGCCACGCCAAGTTCCACAGGACCTTCAATAGCTCGCCCATTGATGACTTCCCATGGACTCACCCCGATGCTCGAATGTGGTGAGTTGTTATAACACATTTCCGCAAGTCCCAAATGACTTACCCAGTTGGTCTGGTCTCCCGAGACATAGCATCGCAAATAATCCTCCAGCTGCCTATTCACCCTTTTCGTTTGTCCGTCTGTCAAGAAGTGTTAGTGCCATCAATCTTGACTTAATACCCATTACTTGTCTGTGGGTGATAGGCTGTGCTGAATTTCAGCTTGGTGCGATACTGTTCTAGGAGTGTCCTCCAGAACCTACTGGTGAAGATCTTATCTCGATCTGAGATAATCTCTTCCGGCCTTCCCCGCACTCGAACTACTTGTTCGAAGAACAGCTTTGCCACACCTTCCACATCCACTTCCGTTGTGGTGGGTATGAAATGTGCCATCTTTGAAAATCGGTCCACTACCACGAATATCGCATCGAACCCCTCACTTGGGGGTAGTCCCGTGATGAAGTCCATCGTGAGACATTTCCACGGACGATCTGGAATGGGGATGCTTTGCAACAAGCCCCCACTAGCCTTCGTCACGGCTTTGACCTGCTGACATGTTGGACATGTCTTTACATAGTCTTGGACGTCCTTAGCCATATCTGGCCAGTGATACTTCCTTTTGAGTAAGCCCATCGTCTTGGGCACTCCGTCGTGTCCCGCGAGAGGTCCGTCATGACACTCTTCCAAGGCTACCTTCCTTAGTTCCCCTTCTGGAACATACACCCAGTCCGGCTTGCCGGACTATGTCTGCAGCCACAAAATTATCTGAAGCACCCGTGTCAATAAGGATCTTAACAAAGCTATCTCCGAGCTTCCCTCGGAGGGCTAGTAGATGTCGCGAACAACTCTCTACCAAAGTTGCTCGTGTAATGAGTAACTTTGAGTTAGGGACTGGATCACATACCTCAGTTTGGACTTCAACCGACTTGATGGCCATATTGGCTCTGGCCTTCTTCGGGTAGGGACATTCCCTCGAAAAGTGTCCCGCTTCACCGCAGTTGTAGCATACGTTGTTTCCCACGCTGCTATACGACTTGACCTTCTTATCTGTGGGTTTGTCTCTTTTCGCTTGACTTCCCCACGTACTCGCTCGCTGGCCACCGGATTTGCCTTTCCGGAACCCCGAGGACTCATTCTTAGAGAAACTCTTCTTGAATTTCCCCCTGCTATACGTTCCCCTTGGTTTGGCCCCTTTGCTAAACGTGGCTCCCGACCCCGTCGTGTTCCCTTTTCGCAGGTTATCGTTGAAATGCACCTTGATGGCTGCATCCAACGCTTCCTTGTAGTTGGTCGGGTTCCTGCGCATTACCTCACCGCGAGCCCAGGTTTGCAAACCTGAAATGAAGGCATGGAATGCATCCATATCCCCCATGTCCGTGACAAGTATCCTCTTTGCCATGAACTCATTCACATATTCCTGGATGGTTCCAGTCTGCTTCAGCCTACTCAGCTCATCTCTCAAATGCAGAGTGGCATTCGGAGGAACGTATGTTGCGCGGATCCTCGCCTTCATCATGTCCCAAGTGGCCACTGGTCCTTCGTTGGCCTCCGTCGTTCTCCACCAAGACTTGGCATTATCTGCCAAGTATGGTTTTGCACATGGGACCTTCTCCGAGCTCGGTAATCGCAACGCTCGGAAGTAGTCCTCCATATCGTAAAACCAATCCTCCACCACCTTATAGTCATTCACTCCTTTGAAGACCGGTGGGGGTTTTGGTTTGTACTTGGGAACTGCCTGAGGGACTGATTCTACTTCGGTCTGTTCGACCTTGTTTGGTTCTGCCTCAATCCCTACCGAAGGGTCCGCGCCTTCTGCGCTGCCAGCATCTGCAGTCTTTCTCTTTTTCTTCCGCTTCTCGTCACGCTTTAGCTTGCGTACGAGAGTCTCCAGCAGGGCATTGGTCTGTGCCAACTGTCCTTTTAGCACGTCCAATCGAGCCTTGGATGACCGAACCTCGCCACCGGACTCCTGTTTGGAAGTTTCCTCATTAGAGTCCTCCTCATGTAAGGATTCCTCATCCATAGCCTCTTGTTCGACCAGAGGCTCCAGCTCTGGCGGAGGTTCCGTCTCCGCCTGTGTTCGTTTACACCTTGCCCTTGCCATCTCCCAGCAATCCGCCTCTATCCTTCGCTAGAACTGAGGAAAAGGCTCCGATACCAAATTGTAAGCCACAAATTTCTCCTTTCCAATTTGTCAGCTTACCTCATCTATCCATCCAACACTGCCTTGGCTTTTGCTAAGTTCCCTTGCCAAGGTTCTCGCCTATGGTACCAGCTCCTACTTGGTCTCATCTACTCACTGCACGAGCAACGGAGTGTTAGCCATCCATCCACGGATTCCCAAATCACTCCCAATCCCCCTCCCCGGGTTAGACTGGACTTAAGGTTCGACTACACTCCCCGCAAGCACAAGCAGCCAAGCACACCAAGCTTCCAGGTTCCTAACATCCCTTGGTACCACAAGACTTGATCATGGGACCCTCTAAATCCCAAGTCTTGAGTGCAACACTTGCTTCGGGACGCCGGGGCGAAACACCGTGGCCTAACGGCCCGGTATGGGTACCTCTATCCCCCCACTTCCATCCCGAAGGAAGGCCCAAGCCCCTAGGGAGGGCGAGGACCAATGAGCCGCATGGTACTCAAGTGGGACACCACTCCACATGAGCCAGGAGCACCGCAATCGGTTTCCCTTTCGGGAGTGGGAGCTGCTCTTGAGCACTTCCCTGGATGGCCCCTCCGGCACCAAACAAGCCCATGCTCACTCCCACCCAAGGCCCCTCGGTCCCAGTCTCAACCTCAAGTCAGTTTGGAAGCCCCACTGGAGAGTCCCTTCAAAACTGGTTCCTGGACCTCACTATCCCTACTATACTTTTGGAACCCCCTGCAGCCCCCCCCCCCCCCCCCCCTGGGAGACACACGCTTTGGGCTTTCACCCCTTGACCCGTATTAGTATTTGGACTTAGTCTCTGGCTCGATCTCGGACCCGATTTCAGATCCGACTTCGGATTCGGTCTCGGACTCGATCTCGGACTCGATCTCGGACCCGATCTCGGACCCGACCTCGGACTCGACCTCGGACTTGGTCTCGGACCCGATTTCGGATCTCGGACTCGGTCTCGAACTCGGACTCGAACGCGGTCCTCGAGTTGGTCTCGGACTCGATTCCGGACTCTATCTCGAACTCGGTCCTAGAGTCGGTCTTGGACTCGATCTTTGACTTGGTCCCATCCGATGAACTCTTTGTCATTTTGGTCATGCTTTCGGGGTTCCTTTAGCCTACGACACCTCGGTGAGTTGGTTCCTTACAGCCACCTACAGATCCACCGATGCCTCCTCCTAATGTTCCTCCAGATCCCGGCCCATCTACAAGAGAACCCTGATGGTCTTCCATTATTCCGAGAGGAGAGGATGATGTGAGGGCCAAGTGTACGGCTACGATGCCGTATACTAATATTAGCGTAGTGGGATTTTGGTAGCCGTCAGATTGGTTTCAATCCGGACCACTTGCTCCTGTATATAAGCTAGGGTTTTTGGGCTAATTGATATGCACATTTCTGTATTCCCTTTCCATATTCCATGCACTCACAACACTTATTTATTAAATAAGATAAAAAAGCCCATTCTTATTTATATTTAATTTTAACTATTCAAAACTATAATTCATTATGAAGTTAAAATTCTTGTACCATATAGTTAGACTATATTACAAGTTAATGAATGTAAGTTTGTGTGCACGTCTTCTTTTTTTTTTAAAGTTATGAAGTAGCTATTTATAATATAAATAAATAAATAAAACTAATAGAATCACTTCACTTTATAAAGGTTATTAATTTTTATAATTTTAAAAATGAGTTTTTGAATAAATTATTAAATGGTTTTTTGAAATATTAGTCAACACACATGCCATGTTTTCATCATGGGATAAAAATATTCTATTTTTATTTTTTTAAAATTATTATATTTAATTAAATTTCAAAATATGTATATATTAAAGGTTGAAACTATGTAATTATAACAAAATTTATGTGAAGGTGAGGACCAATTCAATGAATCAAAGTTGTGGGAGTATTAATAAAAATAATGAATTTACTAGTTATTTTAAAAATCTGTAAAATTTAATAATTTTTATACTAACATGAAAATTAGTGTTGTTAAAAAATAAAAAAAATCTTAAAATTGAAACTTTTCAAATATATCCCAAATTAAGAAATAAAGTTTTTATGATATTAACTATTTTATTAACATAAATAAAGATACATGATAGTAGAAAATTTTATTTAGGTAATATTATATTTTTATGACTAAAGGCATTTGTATTTTATGATAATGTAATTTATATTTATAAAAATAAATACTAGTTTGAGTATCCTACAAAACAAAAATGGTCAAAATTGATTGCTTCCAAGTTCCATTAGCTAATTTCAGGCAAATGGAACTACTGCAAAGTTTGAAGCATTTGTCCTGAATATTCTCTTACTTTACATAACAAACAAAGCATGGAAGAGTCGTGAGAGCTTCTACAGCGCGTGACATTGACCACTCCAATTGTTCTAACCTCTCAAGAGAATTCTTCCTCCAATTCCTTGCGAGAAACCATCGCAAATTCACAATCAATGCGATGATTCCTCCAGCCGAGCGCACCAAGGGCGAATCGCTCGAGTACCGCTTCTACAATCTCCTCTCCACCCAATCCGGCGATCAATCCAGCGCCGATTCCACCCAATCCAGCGCCGATTCCACCCAATCCAGCATCGATTCCAAGCTCGAGGAGCTCATACGCGACGGCTTCGACATCCACAACGTCTACAATCACTACACCACCGCCATCCACCTCGCCAGCGAGTTCCGCAATCTCCCCCTCGTCAATTCGCTCCTCCGCCGCGATGCCGCCATCGACATCCTCCGCGGCGACCTCTCCGATCGCGACACCGCCCTCCACATCGCGGCGATCGGCGGCGACGTCGCGGTCTTCGATGCTCTACTCCAGGCCTTGGGCGCCAATGGCATGAACCCTAATTCCAGTCCCATAAATCGCCATGGAATGGTTCCTCTCCACTACGCGCTGGGCAAGGGCAATGTGGCCCTCGCGGAGCTCCTCCTCCAGCGCGGCGCGGAGATTTCCCAGGCCGATCACACCGGCGCCACGCCGCTACACTTCGCCGCCAGGTCTGGATCCGTCGACGCTCTGGAGCTCATCTTTGCGCGCCTTCCAGTGCCGCGGGACGTGAATTCCGCCAGTCGATCCGGGCTCACGGCGCTGCACTACGCGGCGTGGAACGGCAGGATCGCGGCGATGAAGTGGCTGCTCGCGCGAGGAGCGTCGCTGCAAGCCCGCGACGTTGTGGAGAAGGGGACTCCGCTACACTGGGCGGCCATGAGAGGTGACAAAGAAGCAGTGAGGCTCCTCGTGGAGGCTTGCGTGGGGCGAGGATTGCGAGTCTTCTCGGAGAATAGAGCTGGGAAGAGCGTGCTGGAGCTTGCCGAAGAGCATGGCCGAGAGCACGTCCGGGATCTTCTGAGAGTTGTGATGGAGCAAGGCTTGCTGGATCGAAGAGCTTTCCCGCAAATCTCTTTGGTGAGGTACGTGATAGGATACGGGGATTCCGGCATGATTGAGAGGCTAGATCGAAGTCTAGACTACGCGATCGAGAAGAAGAAGCAAAACTACTCGGCCAACTTGGAGAGGTTGCTGATAGCGTCCGACCTCGTCGACTGGGCTGCCAAGAGAGGAAACAAGGAAAGCATCAACTTGGTGATGAAGCTGCTCAAGCGATACATCACATATGGAAGTGATCCGGGCTTGTTCGAGAGAAAGATGGCCTCGGCATTGCTCAGCGCTCTACAGCACGGGAAGATGGAATTCGCGGCTTCTCTCGCGGATCACAGGCACTGCAAGTACAAGATGGCGGACATCCTCAAGAGCATGAACACGTTTCTCGAGAGGAATGTGGAGGATCTCCGGGTCAAGCTCAAAGGCCGGGACGTGGAGCGCTTTGGCAAGAGAGCCGAGAAGCTCCAGGAGGACATACCATTTGCGTTCTGGCTCTTCTACGAGGAGAGGCAAGAGATCGTCAAGTTCATCGACACTCGACGAGCGTGGAGAGACATTGTCAACGAGCAGGGAAGCCACACGAAGAGAACGGCTTTGCACTGGGCAACCATCCTGGGATACAACGATGTGGTGACCAAGCTCTGTGAGATCCGGGAATGCAAAGCCAACCTCGACGATGGTCACTCAAAGTCGCCATACAGGTACGCGGTGGAACGCCAGCATCCAGATATCCGAAAGGAGCTCTCCTCTCGCGAAGACGTCCGAGCTTACCTCGAGATACTCTACCGGGATCGCCAAGTTTTCGTGGACGCTCTCAACGCGATCCTCGTCGGGGCGGCGCTCATCGCAAGCATAAGCTTCCAGGGATTCCTCCAGCCTCCCAGTGGCCTCAACGGGAAGTACGTTTACATCAACGAGATTGGTGTCAAGCTCTTCGTGTGGTTCAACAGCCTGTCCTTCTTCTTCGCCATGGCCAGCACGCTAGCAGCAGCTCGAGGTGTGCTCCCAATGCCGGACATCTTCATTCAGGAGGTGGTGAAGCGGATCGAGCGAACTTTGTTCGCGGCCGGACTGACGCTCGCGATCTCCATCACTTTCGGGCTGCTAGCATTTGGAGCTGCGGGGTTTTCGGTCCTTCCTCCGGAGCACAAGCAGCAGCGAAACTTGATTGCAACATCGTCCATGGGTGGGATCGTTTGCCTGGGGATGCTACTGTGGTTTCTGAAAGGACTCTTCTTACTCTTCAACAGTTACGTCTTCTCGCGGACATCGCAGAGATGTCGTCAGGAGACACTCCCTCCATCCAGCTTTGGATCCAGCACTGCAAACTACAAGCACCACGTCGAGGAGCATGAATGCAACGCTGAGAAAGAGGAAAAAAAGGCTGGGGATTTGGACGAAGAGAAGCGGACTTATGATGTTGGGGCGAATTACTCCGAGTATCCATGGCAAGATGGCTTGGACAAGCTGTGCGAAAATGTGGTCATTGATTGTTAGAACAACTCCAAAAGGTGGCGGATTAAGAGTTATTAATGCTATTACTAAACTATGTTTTTATTAGGTTAACTACAGCCTTTAACTAGTTTGGGAAGCCGAGCTGGCCACATCCCGTCCCTACACGTGGCAGCGATCCACTGACTCCCACCATTTGCTCTTCAAAGTTATACTCCACGATGAGCTCCTCTTGCGCTAGGGTTCCAAGCGAGGACAGGCCCTGGGACGATCCAGTGCTCACGGCTCCCAGGCACACCAGGTGAGAGGGCGTCTCCACCAGGAAATTCAAGGGATCAATCGTCCAGCTCTTGTTCCCGGCGAAGCGGAGCTCCAGCAGCGGCCCATGCCCATCGATCGTCATGTCGGGCGCTAGGGTATAGCACAGATCCAGCTCGTGGAAGGGCGATGGCGCCGGCGCCAGGGAGGAGGCATTGGCCATGGCCATCATCGTGCTGCGCAGCCACTGGTACGCCGGATCGACGAGGGCCAGGTAGCGTCTCCCGGTTCCAATCGCCAGGCCCTCGGCAAACACGGATTCTTCCAGCGGCGCCGTGACGTTGCCGAATTCGTCGCCGCCGTGGATCGCCATGCCGGTGAGGTGTAGAACAGGAAGAACGTCTTCGTCCCAGCGCAGCGTTGGGATGTAGCTCATGGGAGCGATGGTTTTGTTGGGAAAAACGTAGTTGGGCTGGCCAACGAAGAAGAATCCTCGAGGTCTTCCCAGGCAGTAGCCAAAGATCTTGCGGAGATTGAGAGCTTCCAGCCTGCGATGGACGTTGACGACGAGCGAGAGGCGATAGGGGGCGAGTCCGGCGACTCCTTGGCCCGGGTTTCTTCCGCTAGAGCAGAGGATGGGGACAGTGGTATCGGCCGAGGATGGATCAAGGCCGGGGAGAGGAAGAGAGGTGTTGAAGGAGAGCTTGAGTGGAGCTTGCGAGGGGAAGACAATCTCGCCATCGCTGGAACCACACGCGGCTGTGGTGGCGTTGCAGCGAATGAATCGATCGGCGCAGGTGTCTTGCAAGCGCAGGCGGTAGCAGTCTTGGAAAGGGAGGATGATCTGGTTGCAGCTGGAATCGAGTGTGAGATTGACGAGCTGTGGAGGAATGGGAGTGAAGGCCTCGTCGCTGTCGTGCTCGTTGTTTGGGAAGAAGGTGATAGTGGCAGCGAAAGTTGGCGAGCTCGCGCTTGGATTGGGTGGCAGCACCATTGTCACGGGATAGAATCCGGAGGCGTGAGGATCAGAGGGTGGAGGATTTGGAAGGCAGTTGCACTGCGGAGGAGGTGATGGAGCTGGAGCAATGGCGGTGACAAGAGCTGGGACCAAGAACAGTAGCAAAGTAAGAGCAGACATCTCTAAGTCTCCTTTTTCTTCCTTTTGTTTGCTCTCTTCTTTACCGAATTGGGTGACAGTGTCGAAGGAGAATTCCGGGCGTGGAGAATTTTATAGCTGGAAGAACGCATCGGGAGCTCGTGGTAAGCAAGTTGGTGCCATTCTCATCTGGTTTATTTGATCACCTACTTCGAATGCTTTGTTTGATCAGGAGGAGCGGGTGTCGGGTTCGCTGCTTCAAAGATTTGCTACAGCAGGAGCGATCGACAAACTCTGCGATGGGAACAAAAGTTTTGTGTCCCACACGGGTATACGAATGAATCTATGTTTACAATTTTGATAACTTGTTTTGATACAGGTTGCAAACATCATATCCAGAACACTACACTTCCATGCTTGCGATAGAATGAATTGGAAATCAACTCGAAGCGATGGAAAGTTTGTAAGTTTACAACGGTGTAGAACCGTGAAAGAAGTAAATTCTCTTTTGTCTTTCTTTTTGTAACTTTTTCGTTTTCGTTTTCGTCAGGACCTTCCTCTTGTCACTGTTTGTATCCTCCGGAAGAAAACTGGAGCCTGGCTGATGCTAAACGTGATGCTCTCACGCATCCATTCCGGAGCGATGTAGCGCAGTGACCCAAGCGCCAAGGACGTGAATTTCACTTCTCTGTCGCCACCACAAATCCGGGCAGTGTCGGGGTCAACAACAGGTTCCAGCGAGAACTTGAGACCTTTTTGAAGGAAAAAACGAAGCAACGATCTTAAGTTGATGCCAACACGAAGAAAAAGAAGCAGGGGATTTCACCTGTGGATTGATGGAGGAAAACAAACGCCGCTGAATTGTCATCCTCTACTTCGGTTATTTGCATGTCACTCAAGAGCTGGAACAGTCTTTGGAGAAACTTGTAGCGATCTTCTCTCGTCCTGTCAGAATGACAGTCTAGAGAAACACCATGAGAAACGAAAAACTAAACGATCGTTTTGAGCTTACCCCTCGCTTGAGCCATGAGAAGCTGGTTCCGGTATAGTGCATTCTCTTTCTCCAGCTCTTTCAACCTGGAAGGAAGAATTCCAAAGACAATGGAGATTGTGAGTGAAAATGGAAAATGGATTTTCTTACCTTACCATTGTCTCTTCGACTTGAGACTCTTTTACTAGGTGCCGGAGCATTTCGTTCTCTTCGCGGAGTGTCTCTACTAGCGACTCCGTAGCTGGAACAAACGAAAGACAAAGTTTAAATGGAAATCACAAGAGGAGAGAGAGAGAGAGAGAGAGAGACCTTTCGAGTAAGCAGCAGTGCGTAACTTGTGCTCTTCAAACAACTTCTCAGCATTCTCGATCCTCCTGGCCTACAGAGAGAAAAAGAAAGAGCAAGATCAGCTTTTCCGCAAACTCGAGAAAAAAAAGAGATTACCTTGTCTCTCTCGTACTTGTCGTAGATCTTATCGTAAGCTCTCTTGAGCTGCAAGTTCCATAGAAGCAATTAAGCAATCCAAGAAAAAATAAAAATCCAAGAAGGAAATAAAAGAGCTCCTTACCGTGGAAAATGGAGACAAGGAAGAAGAGCCTTGCTGCTGTGAAGAGTCTGCGTCGCCATTAACTTGGTGATCTTCCCCTTGGGCTTCCATGGAAGAAGCCAATCTAGACCCTCTTGCCATCTACCTGCATTGCTTCCCCGGGGGAAAACCCTAGACCAGGATCGCGAGCTGGAATCCAAAGATTTGCGGCTGGGACCAGAGTAGCAGCAGCGCGCAAGAATCTGGCGCCATGTCCACCACTGCCCACCAAAAAAAAAATTGAAAATGCCCTGATCCTCAGGAACGTTAGCAGGGAATATTCGCACCTCGTCCTTTTTTCTCTTTTTTCTTTCAAGCTATGGTTTTGGTTTGAACAGTCTGGAGCTGGCTCGAGCACCACTCCGCCACTGCTTTCTAGAAAAACCAAACAGAGAGAGAGGAATGAGAGAGGGAGAGAGAAGATCCACACCTTTGTCTCACTGGACGGATTGAAAGGTGTGGAGATCTTTGAGCCTTACGCTGCGAGCGTCGGATTCCTCGGCCAGCCGCTCGAATTCCCGCCGCATCAAACGCAGGAACTCGAAGAACTCGTTGGTGATGTTGAGGTCGTCGAGTAGATCGACGCTTCTCTTCACGTAAGGGACGCAGTCCAGCACTGATCATGCTCTTGTTTTAGTCGAGTTTGGAAGAAAAAACGAGAGAGAGAGAGAGAACTTACTGGCGTATTTGTTGGTGTGCTTGTCTAGACGGATTGTGCACGAGTATTCGTGATCCGGGTTCTTTGCATTCACTTTGGTGAAGGTGATCTTGATCCCTGAAAGTTTTTCATATTCTCATGTGATGATGAGAAGAAAAATTGAAGAAGAGGAAGAACTTACCGCTCGCGAAGTCTGCACGGATGCCAAGAATGTCGTTGTAAAACTTGCGAGCGATCTTCTGTGCATTTACTTTCTGCTGTACGCGACGCACACGCTCCTCCAGATCTGTGCAAGAGAAATGGTCATTTCTATGAGCACAATTGGAAACTACGTACCTTTTAAGGATTCTTCAGCGACGTGAGCACAACCTTCTCGTCGTTCTTTCAGCAACTCCAAGCGTTTTGCAAGGTAGATCTTCTTCTCGTTTGCTTGCTCGATCATCTTCTTCAAGGTCTCGTGTTGCTGCTTCCGGGCAGTAATTTCTGTACAGTGGAAAAGTTCCAACCACCATTGGAAAATAATTCTCGAAAACCAGACCTTTTTCTTTGTGAATTTTTTGCTCGCTAATCTCACGCAAATGCTGCTTGAGCTGCTCCGATTCCTCTGATCGGACGAGAAATTTAGGGGAAACGAGAACACACAAATCGCTTACCGTGGCCGCCGCGGCTCACAGATCTCGACATCTCCTGGAGCTCGTCCATGCGCTTCTCGCAAGATCGCTCCCACGCCTCAAACCTGGAGCGCGCCGATCGCACAGTCTCCATCACCTGCTGGTGGCGATTGCGAACCCTGGCGCCCTCCGCCATGGTCGCCATTCCCTCGCTCGGGGCTTTCAAACAAAAAACCCCACTGTGGATATTCCGTCATCTAGGACGCTATATAAGAGTACATTTCGTTAGCGTGGTGGATATTCCGCTGGTAGGGTGGATATACCGCTGGCTGAGCAGCCACTTAAAAATGTAGCGAAGCTCAAGCTTTGGCGATGGCGCTGGCACTGCGGCCCGGCGGGACGAGGCCTGGAAAGTTAGGGTTAGGGTTTGGGGCAGCATGGGCGAGGCGATGGTCCTCCACGGCGGAGGAGGAAAGCGTCCAGTTGCCAGAGAAGGCGGGGGGATCGGGCTCTGGCGGGAGCGTCGGGCCGCGATTCTACAAGCATGCTCGGATGCGCCCCAGCGACGATGGGCATTACGTGGTAATGCTGGATCGATTCACGCTCAAGACGCCCAAGAAGAATCCCGTGTCTGTGCCAACGCCCGGATTGGCGCTCGCGATCGCGGCGGAATGGGAGTGGCAGGTAAGCAAGCACACCGTTTGAATTCTTGGAATTTCTTGAGTTCTTGCGAGAGAGGAAGGGAGCGAAATTTTTCCAAAGAGACTTCTTTGCAACTTTGTTGATTGAGATAGAACTTTTAGAGGAGAGGAATGCCTGGAGTTTATTAAAATGCGAGTCTCCACTGCAGACTTGGTGACCACCATTTGACATCGGGGCATTTTTCCAGACCAAATCAGGAATCCGGCCGTTTACCATGCCGCTCATGAAGCTCGCCGCTACTACCATCGATCGACTTCCAGATTTCAGAGAGAATGTCATCGAGAATTTGCTCAAGTATTCTCACGCGGACTCAGTTTACTGCCGTGCTCCAGAGACTGAGCCTCTCTCTCGTAAGTCATACAGAAAACTTGAAACGAGATTCACTCACCGTTTTTTTTCTTGGTTTCTTCCTAGACAAACAGGCTCAGCAGTGGGATCCTCTTGTAAAATGGATCGAGGGAAAGATTGGAGCGAAGCCATCCGTGACGTCGAGCATTTTGATCGGCAAACAGCCCAAGGAAGTACTCGACGCATACAAGAAAATTCTCGGCGATTTTAACAACTGGGAACTCTCGGCTGTGGATCAACTGACTGCTTCCGCTCGTTCTCTGGTCATCGCCTTGGCGATTATAGACGGACGCCTCGACGTGGAGAAAGCCATGAAAGCCATTCGCGTGGATGAAGACTTCCAGGTACGGCGAAAATCTTTTTTCTTCCTTTCGGGTGATAGCATTTGTGATGGTCTTTTTTTCTTCCAGATTGCCAAATGGGGACTGGTTGAAGGTGGTCACGACATTGATATCTCGGATCTTCGAGTTCGCATCACCGCGGCTTCCATTTTTCACAGGCTACTCCAGATGTAGCGATTGATAAAAGGTAGAAACTTCAAAGGTAATAACTCCGACCTTTTCGAAAAGGATCGATTCGAGGGGTTTTTAAAGTGTTCTAAGTGTAACCCAATGTCTCTTGAGGATCTTCTTATCGCCATAGTCTGTTGGTGCTGCTCAAAGAGAAAGAAAACTATCGAGTTGGAGTGTCTGGAGATGGCGTTCGAACCACGATCGCGTGGCCGTGTTCTTGAAAGCCATCAACTCAAAGCTGAGTAGTACACAAGTTTGACAGCAAAACGAAAGACCCACCATCCAGTAACTTCGTGTTCTTTGCGAAGAGTTTGTCTAAAAGTTTATGTTGTTGGCACTTGGAAGAAACGAGCAAACACGTCCATTCCAAAGCATCAGGGACAAAGGGCATGTTTTTAACAAGATCCAGCGCAGAATCAAAGCGTCCAGCGCGAGCTAGCAAGTCTACGATGCAGCAGTAGTGTTGCTTCTGGGGTTTCAATCCAAAGTCGTGGATCATGGAGACGAAGTAGCGGCGAGCTTGGAAGATCTTGCCACCATCGCTGCAAGCCACCAAGAGCGAGACAAAGCACGCCTCGTCTGGGAGCCGGGTCATTGTGAGTAGATCGAAACTTGTGGAAACATCTTGAAAAGAAGATGGTAGTTTTGTTTTGCTGAAAGAATAAGAAGCCAGGAGTGTTCCCCAGGAGATTATATCCCTCTCGGGCATCCGATCAAACAACGTTTTTGTTCTTTCTCTATGGCCAACTTGGGCATATGCCGCAAGGATAGAATTCCAGCAAGCCACATTTCGTTCCGGAATCTCGTAAAAGATCTCCATCGCACGATTAACCTCACCTTTCTGACCGTAAAGAGAGAGTATCGTGCCCCACGAAACAAGATCCCACTCGGGCATCTGGTTAAATATTCCCAAAGCCGGCTCAAGATACCCTGAAAGGGCATATGCCAAAAGAAAAGAACTCCAAGAGATTAAATCTCTTTGAGGCATTTGAGAAAAGAGGCACTTTGCATTCTCAACACGTCCATTGTGGGCATACACAGTCAGCATTGCATTGTACGACACAAGGTTCCATTCGGGCATGGCCCAAAAGAATATCCCCTCCGAGCCATTAACATCCCGCCGTTGCCCGTACGCCACGAGCATCGAGCACCAGGCCACGATATTGTGGCCAGGCATCCGATCGTACAACTCCTTCGCCTCGATGCCGTACTGGGAGCTCCGGCTGTACGCAGCGAGCATGGAATTCCACGACACAAGGTTCCGTACGGGCATCTCGTGGAATATTCTCTCGGCTTCTTGTGTGTGGCCGGATTGAGAGAATGCGGCTAGCATCGACGTCCAGGAGACGAGATTCCACTCCGGCATGGAGGAATATATCTTCTTTGCTTTGGGAATATGCCCATACTGGGCATATGCGGAGAGGAGCGAGGTCCAGGAGACCACGTTTCTCTGCGGCATTTCATCGAATATTATTTGAGCGCATTGGAATCTCCCTTGGGCAGCGTACGCTGCCAGCATAGAGCTCCACGACACGATGCTTCTCTCGGGCATCTCCTCGAATATCCACTTTGCTTGTTCCAGATGCCCGTTCTGGGAATATGCCGATAGCATCGCATTCCACAAGACGAGATCGCGGTGTGGGAATGAGTCGAAGAGATCTTTGCATTGCCGGACGTCGCCATTTCTGGAGTGGGCAGTGACGAGATTCGTACAAGAGACCAGATCGACGGCCATGGTCTGGTGTTGCTTTAAATTCCACCATTGGATCTAGGGTTCTTGGGAACGATGCTCTCTGCGAGGGTGTCGCGCGGCGCCTAAGCGCGCATCCCTGTGGCTCGTTCCTAGATCCAAAGGACCAATGGTCCAGCGGCCAGACAACCGTAGTTCTTCCTTCACGGGACGATTGCGAGCTCCAGTGCTTTTGCCCTACTACAGGAAGCTCATACTCTCGATTCTTGGCATCGCAACTAGCGCTAGCGATCAATGGTTTCGCTCTGTGCTTTACTGATGCCCACAGCGAAGTCGCCTCTGATTTCCAGCAGTAGCGCCGCTCAATGGCTTCTTCTGCCCTACACACGAGGCTACACTTGCGAGATCTCGATCAATCGAAGAAACCCATTGTTCTAGCCATGCCCTTCTCTGTTCCAGGAGCTCCCGGAGGGAAAGATCTCAAATGCGGAGCTGCCGTATTTGATCAGCCCGCGCTGCCCTTGATCCGAGAGCCGCGCCCTCGCATTCGTGAGCTTCACGATGCCGTGAGGATCAATCTCCTGCCTGGCGCCCGTGCCGAATTCTCGGCTTACTCCTGGTTCCTCCAAGAATGTGGCAGACTCAATGCCCTCGCGGCGGGCAAGCTCGTCCACGCTCACATTCGATCGATGCGGCTGGAACACGACCGATTTCTTGGCAATCTCGTGGTGGATATGTATGGACGGTGTGGGCGATTGGATGAGGCGGCCGCGGCGTTCCAAGAGATCCACGAGAAGAATGTATTCTCCTGGAACATCTGGATTGGAGCAAATGCCATGAATGGGCAATCCATGGCGGCACTGGAGCTCCTCAAGAAAATGGAGCTACACGGTATCAAGGCCACTAGGGTTACGTTCTTGAATGCTCTATCGGCATGCGCCGCCCCGGAGCTCCTCGCCCAGGCGCGATCGATCGTCGAGAAGATCACTGCCGCTGGAATGGATCGCGACGTCCTCGTCGCCACGGCCGTGGTGAGCGCGTACGCGCGATGTGGCGCCATGGCCAGCGCCAGGGAGGTCTTCGATGCCATGCCCGCCCGAAATATCGTCTCCTGGAACGCGATGATCGAGGCCTACGCGCAGCACGGCCGAGGCGCCGACGCGATCGCGGTATTTCGGCTCTTGGAGCTGGAAGGTACGTTCCAAGCGAACAAGATCACATTCCTGGCACTGATCGAGGCTTGTTCTTGCTCCTGGCAGGGAAATCTCGGTACCGGGAGGCTCTTTCACCATCGCGCCATTGCCAGTGGCTTCCATACGGACGAATCTCTCAAGAACAGCCTGGTCAACATGTACTCCAAGTGTGGCAGCGTGGAAGAGGCGAGACAAGTCTTCGATTCCATCGCTCCCAGGACAGCGATCTCCTGCAGCGTGATGATCACGACCCTGGCACAGAATGGCTTCTATCGAGAGGCGCTAGAGCTCTACCGGGAGATGCAAGAAGAGGGACTGGAGTCCAACAACATGACGTTCCTTAGCTTGCTGGAAGCCAGCGCCCATCTCACGGCCTTGGGCCAGGGACGAAGAATCCACGCCAGTATCATCGACTATGGGCTCGCCAGAGACCTCTTGATCCAGACAGCGCTCGTCTACATGTATGGGAAGTGTGCTAGCTTGGACGAGGCAAGGGAGGTGTTTGAGAGCATGGAAAGGAAGAATGTGGTGGCCTGGACGTCGATCATCGCTGCTTACTCCCAGCACGGCCACTGCGAAGAATCGCTGGAGCTCTTCCGGAGGATGGCTCTCGATGGGGTGATGCCCAACGAGGTGACTTATGGAACGCTCTTGTCTACGTGTAGCCACGCTGGGCTCGTGGACGAGGCCTACGACAACTTTGTGGAGATGAAGAACCCCAGGTTGACGCACTATAGGTGCATGGTGGATGCGCTTGGGCGAGCCGGGAAGCTGGACGAGGCCGAGGATCTCTTGAACAACATGCCCTTTGAGCCGGACTCGGTAGCGTGGGTGCTCTTCTTGGGAGCTTGTAAGACGCACGGCAGCATCGAGAGGGGCTCTCGGGCAGCGGAGAGCATCCGCGAGGTGGCTCCGGAATCGGTGAGTGCTGGTCCGTTTGTGATGGTTTCTAATATGTATGGCTTTTCACGAGTTTGTGTCGCGGGATGATTCTTGTGGTGGAGTTACAGAGATTGATACACGAGATGAAGTGTACTGTAAGACACAGGGCAGCATTGAGAGAGGCCCTCGGGTAGCGGAGAGCTTCCGCGAGGTGGCTCCGGAATCGGTGAGTGCTGGTCCGTTTGTGATGGTTTCTAATATCTATGTAGGCGATGCTGTGCACGAGTTCGTGTCGCGGGATGATTCTCACTCTTGCAGAGGTTGATACGCGAGATGCGTGATCATTTGGGATGTGTTCCTTATACCACCGGTGTTCTTCACGACGTCAGCCAGGAGCAAAAGGAAGAGATGGTCAAGCATCACAGCGAGAAGTCGGTGATTGCGTTTGGATTGATCAGCACTGTGCCAGGGACGACCATCCGGGTAATGAAGAACTTGAGAGTTTCTTTGGATTGTCACACTTGTTTCAGGTGCATTTCCAGGATTTCCAAGAGGAAGATTATTTTGTGTGATTGATCACTTTACTTGCTGCTGCAAAGGCTACTGATAAGTTTAGAGGCATCTAATTTCAATGCCAAGTAATTTTCCAGATTTTTACGTTCACTAGACACTAGATCGTGGGCAAAGTATTCGTCCCATCATACATTATTGACGTAGAAATTGGTTCCAGGCTAGAGTCCAAAGGAACTACCCGACATTGAGAAAAAGATAAATCATGACGAAATTATCAAACAAAAGCTCTAATTTTTCAAGCAAAAAATGACTCTTCCTGCGCTCTTGCTGCTACTCATCATTGTAAGATTTTCTTGTCTAGATGTAATTCAAGGCGTTCCAATCTACTGGGTGTCACTTGAGGCCAACACCAGCAAACTCGTCTACAAACCCACCAATGCAGGTGACACAATCATGGATTTTTCGGCCGTGGGATACTTGGGAAGGGATGCCGCACTGCCAGACAACATACCAGTGAAAGTTGCCCTCTATCCTGCTCGCAACTACAAAGGCAGCAACAAGAGCCATGGTGAATCCATCCAGCAGGCCATCAATGAGGTTTCTTCCTTGCCCCTGGATCCTTCTACAGGTTACCGTGGAGCAATCCAGCTTTCGAGTGGAGTCTTTGATGTTCGAGGCCACCGCTTTACCATCAACACCAGTGGAATTGTCATCACCGGCAGCAGCAGCGAAGAAACAATTCTCCAGGCAAGCGTTTCCCGCGTCGACGGCGATGACAGTACCTTTCCCCACTTCTATCCTCTTTTCTCTGTGGAGAGTCCGCAAGAAAAGGTCTCGGAGATTGGCTCGAAAACCGCGATCATAGCAACAGTGCCGTCGGGATCCAGGTTCGTGCAGCTCAACTCAACTCGAGATATCAATCCTGGGGACCTCGTGAGGATCGTTTGGCCGATGAGCTCCGCGTGGATCCAGACCATGAACATGACGCACAGGTGGTCGAATGCTTCGTCAACATACATCGAACGCAAAGTCGCCAGTATCGACAACGCGAGCAGCAGAGTCTTCCTCGACGTCCCAGTTTCTTTCCGGATCGATCTAGCGTATCTGAGCACCGCGCAGCCGGCCTACTTGGTCAAGGTTAACATCTCCGGAAGAACAAGCCACGTTGGTCTCGAGAACTTTAAAGCAGTCCAGGACAAAGTTCTTCCGTACGGTGCCGGGAACTTCCTCAACATCCAGCAAGTGGAGAACTCGTGGGTGAGAAACGTCGCTGCTGTGGACTTTGGAGGAGACACTGTTACTATCGCCGGCACGAAGGTCACCGTCGACAACTTGCACCTTGAGAGGACCATCCAGAGCAACAGGTATGGCGCCAAACGAGCAGATCTCGCCATCCAATTTCCAGGCTCGCAGATCCTCGTAAAGAACAGCGTCATTCGGGGAGGAGATTTTCAGTTTAGCTACATCACCAGGAACCAGGCAAATGGTCCCAACGTGTTCTTCAACAGCACCGGCTATGGAAGCTCGCCAGCGGAACCTCACAGCCACTTTGCGACAGGGATCTTGTACGACAACATGAACTTGGTGGGTGGAACGCTGAGCCTGGTGAATCGAGCGACCATCACTCACGGCTACACATCCGGGTTTAGCGTCGCATGGAACTGTAACGCGACGGTGCTCAAGGTGATCAATCCTCCACAGGCGGCCAACTGGGCGATTGGATGCAACGCGAAATCGCTGGGAAGCATTGGAGACGAAACGCCGGGATTCATCGAGCCGGGAGGAATCGAGTCTGATCGTTTGACAAGCTTGTACCTGGCTCAAAAAAAGGTCGCAAAAATGTGAGCAAAGAAAGTCAATACACGTGAAATTTGTGGATATACCCTTTGAAACTTTCAACATATGTCTAGGATGAATAAGCAACACAAAAACGTTTCTAGAACACCTCGTTTGCATGCCGAGTTGGCAAAACCACATAAACGCCAGATAATTGGAAGCGTAAGTGATAGAAATTTGTAGTGACAGTGTAAAAAATCAGACACGAAGTCCATATTCTTCTCAGTGCAATCTTCCTCTTCTTTGGTAACAGGAACAAGGCCAAAGTCTCATATGGGAAAATCAAGGAAGCAATGCAAATCAAGATGTGAAATTATTTACACGCGGTAGAAGGGTTTATAATTCCAGGATAGGACAATGTATCTGCGCGGCCAAAGACCGGTCAACGCATGAGATTCACGGTGTTTCCAGATATCGATTCGAATCCTCCTGAATTTGTCCTGAAAGAATGAAAATATTCTTTCTCCAACCTTTGCCATGCCGTATTAAACTCTCTTATAACATTTTGTCGTGGTTTTCCGCTATAAAATGTAGGCTGATTTTGATAGTTTAGAGCAGTATATAATCTCTCAAGCATGCTTACTCTTTTGCTCACTTTAGTTTTTGGTTGTGTTACAGTTTTTTGTGCCCCCACATATTGGGTGTCATTGGACAGTGACAATGGCAACAAGCTCGTTTACAAATCCACCAGCACAGGCGATACTATCATGGATTTTTCAGCGGTGGGATACTTGGGCAGCGATGCAACTCTCCCAGATAACGTGCCTGTGAGAAGAACTCTCTATCCCGTTCGATCTGGTGGCAGCAGCAAAAGCGATGGCGATGCCATCCAGCAAGCCATCGACGAGGTCTCCTCCTTGCCACTCGATCCCTCCACAGGCTTCCGAGGAGCAATCCAGCTCTCAAGTGGAGTTTTTGACGTTCGAGGCCACCACTTTACCATCAACGCGAGTGGAATTCTCATCACCGGCAGCAGCAGTAGCGAAACCATCCTCCACGCAAATGTCTCCATAGCCGAGGATGGCATGCACGTCTACGCTTTGTTCTCGGTCGAGAGTCCACAGCAGACTATCTCAGAGGTTGGTCACAGAGCTGCTATAATCGAGACTGTTCCTTCCGGTTCTAGGTACGTGAAGCTCGACTCGTCTAGTGGACTCAAACCCGGCGATCTCGTCTCGATCGTCTGGCCGATGACTTCCAAGTGGATTCAGATGATGAAGATGAGCGAGAGATGGGGGAACTATGCGGAAACGTCCATCGAGCGCAGAGTTATCAGGGTTGACGCCGAGAAAAACACGGTATTTCTCGACGTCCCGGTTCCATTTCGTGTTGATCTAGAGTACCTGAGCTCGTCACAGCCGGCGTACTTGGTCAAGGTGGAGATCTCTGGACGAGTATCCCAAGTCGGTCTCGAGAACTTTAAGGCTGTCCAGGACAAAGTTCTCCCTTACGGTCGTGGCAGCTTTCTCAGCCTCGCGCAGGTGGAGGACTCTTGGGTGAGAAATGTCGTGGCTGTCGACTTTGGAGGAGATACCATGACTGTCACTGGAAAGAGGATCACAGTCGAGGGCTTGAATCTCATCCGGACGCTTCCAGGCCCGAGGCATGGTCCAAAACCAGCTGATCTCGCCATTGCCTTTCCAGGCTCCCAGATCCTCGTCAAGAACAGCATCATCGAAGGAGGAAGCACTCAGTTCATCTACATGACCCGGGATCAAGCGAATGGTCCAAACGTTTTCTTCAACAGCACTGGATATGGGAGCGCACCTGCGGAGCCTCACGCTCACTTTGCAACTGGGATCTTATATGATAACATGAAGTTTGAGAGTGGGACGATCAGCTTGATCAACAGGCCGTACAAGGATCACGGCTACACTTCTGGATATAGTGTTGTGTGGAACTGTCACACCAAGGTGTTGGAAGTTGTGAAACCTCCACAAGCAGCAAACTGGGCCATTGGAGGCACCACTCAATCTCTGGGAAGCATTGGGGATGAGACTCCAGGATTTATTGAGCCAAGAGGAATTGAGTCTCATCGCTTGGCAAGTCTGTATTTGGCTCAAAAAGCAGCTGCAAAAATTGAAACTTCTGAACAAAAATATGAGAAATAACAAAAATGTTCCACTGTAAAGTTTTGTTATTTAAAAAAATACTTCCACATCAAATCAAACTAGTCAAAACAAAAAATCACTTCAGATTCCTTAGACTCCATGCATACGGTTGTTCCACAATGGAAAGCATGCTTCTTTGGTCCAATATTTTCAGTACAATTTTGGGTGATAAGTTTTTGGTGGTAGTATATCATCCATTGCCAAACAGTTGATAATATTACTTTGGTATTAGGGCTTTTTTGCACTGACCCTTACCCTTAAAGTTAAAAGTGATTGTTTAAGTAATTTGGTTTCACATAAACCTTTAAGCTAAGTATCAATACTTATGTATATCCCTTATATTTACCTTTACCCTTAAATTTTAGGAAGCTACAGAAGTTAAGTCACTTAACTTGCCATTATTCCATTAAGAGCTCTTTGATTGCTGCAAGGAGATTTGGGCTGCTAATCACACAAGATAGTGCACAGATCTAGCACTGCCACTTGATCTCAACCTATCCAACTCTCTCTTACTCAGCATGCTTCAATCAGCTCTAGATCAAGGGATCTCTCATTCAAATTGGCCTCCATCAGTCGCTAGATCTGCTTTTGGCTCTCTATCGTGGTTCCAATCTCACACCTAAATGTTCTTGTGATGCTTGATGACCCATGGAGGATCTTTGCGCTGTGCCACGAGAAATTCTGGGAAAACCTGTGAGAAATTCTGGGACCAATCACATGAATTGTGGGGCTTTGGAGCTTGAAAGATGGGAGTTAGAGGGCGAGACTCGATTCAACAAGGGTTTGTTAAAGTATGAATCAAAACAATTTAAGGTAAACTCTTAGATTAAATAGGGGGTTAAGTTTTAAACTTATGAAGTTAATAGATTAAGGGTAATGACCATATTGACATATCCTAAGTTTTTTTTACATACCAATTTTTTCTCATATGTCAAGTAATATGGCCTATTCCTTCTAGAACAGCATACATAAAATCAACCTAACAGAACTAAACTCTAAAGACCAATCCGAGCCAATCACACATCTAGAGTTCCCCATTGACATTTTTTATCCAAGCAGCCAATGGTACTTATAACTGTGGAGGGAGGTTTAGCATAAGACTTGAGTCATGA